ACATACAATTAGGTAAAGATAAGATAAGCTATGTATCTAAATCCTAATTTTGTGCTGCAATATTGAGTTTAGTCGTTACTTGAAAAATTATATGAATACCTAAGATTAAGAATTTATACAAAAGCTATAGTTAAACAAATTTTTTTTCAATATTAAAAATAATTTTCTTTTTATTAAGAATCTTGGTGATGAGAACCATTAGTTTCAACAATTACAATAAACATATAAATAGGTACTAATAATCTACTAAATTAGAAAAACATTATTTTTTTTAAATTTAAATTATGAAACCAGCCTGGTAGAATAAATTAAATGTGGATAAAATAACTTGAGAATTGCAGGAAAGGATGGATTGAGGATTGGCTGGAATATTTAGGGAATTAATTAAGGAGAGAAAGCTTTTGCGTTAGGAGAAGATATATGGGCAGTTAAAAAGGATGTGAGTGATATTGCAAGTGGCAGGAGTAGAATGGTGAGTGCAGAGGGGGAATTATTTAGGCCGAGCTTAAATTAATACAAAGGTAGTAAGGTGTGTCCGAAGCGAAGGCGAGAGAAAGAAGACATATTCTTGCGAGATAGTTTAGATTTATCAAATCAAGGGAGAGGAGAAATGGATGATGCAATGTCTGTATACTAAAATGAGTGGGCAGACCTTCTCAATATCTGATTCATAATTTATCAACCCTATTTTTTAGCATTGGGCAAAGATTAGACCAGGGTATTGTGAAAAAAAAATTATTTTAAGAGCATATTTTTATTGTTTTTTTATGTGYATTAAATTATATTATAGAGCATTCAAATCCATTCCATAGTAATGACTAATATATTTTTCCAAAGTATTATTTTTGGGGATTTCCTGATATAAGTATATTTCTTAAGCTATTTATTATCCATTTAATTTTTTTAATTTTTGTCATATGTTTAACTAAAATCAATTTTTTTCAGATCCCTGTTACACCCTTACACCCTGCTTGAGATTATTTAAATAAAATACAATTTTATGAAAATATTTGTTCTTAATATAAAAATAATAGAGTAATATAGTTAAAAGGGAATTAATATTAATAATTGACAACATACCTTTCTCTTTCTTCAGTTATTAATTTACTTGTATTCTCATTCCCAAGAATATCAATGTTGTTTTTATCATGTGCTTTTTCTTGTTTGGAATTTGTGTTTGACAGTTTACTCTGCTTTTGAATATTTTTATGATTGTTTTGCTCTTCACTCAAACTTTGGTGACTATTTTTTTTTTTGTTATTTATTTTAACAACCCATCTAATAAAAATAATATAAATGTATGACTTTTGTGAGTAAAAATCACATTAACATATTTAAGTATTCATTAAT